AGCCCTGCCGGTACCAGTACATGTAATAGCTGCTCATACTGCCTCCACGCACGCTGCACTGGAAGGTGACTCCTTCTCCTTCCCACACGGCCAGTTCTGTGGCATGTTGCTCCAAGGCCACCTGGCCAGTGACTGCTGCAGTGAGCAAGAAGAAGCCATCATCACTCCAAGATGCCTCCAAGTGTGCCCTGAAACACTACTGGAGGCATTCCTAGGGCAATGGACCAGTGGGAGGACTAAATCCTTCTCTTTGAACCCAGCTGACAAAGATAGGCAGAGGAATACAGCTGGTACCAGGAAGGAGGGCTCACCCTTGTGAGGCACCACATTTCTCTTCCTTTCCGTTATTCTGATTTTCCCATTCCAAGCAGGAATATTTTGTACCACAGGGTGCAAATCCCTTAGTCTTTATCAAGCCGGGATGCTGAGGAACTTAACATCCCCTCCCTGAAATTGCTCTGAAGGAGCACACAGGATGGACAAGGAACTCTCACAGGCAAGTGGGCCTCAGCCCCTATGCTCCCATCTAAAACCTCATCTTGGCAAAACAAAGTGCAGTGCCCCATGAGCAGATTGTCCAGCCAAAAGGCAAAGCACGAGGCCCCAAGATAGGGCAGCAGCAGGGTGGTGCCCTGCCTGTCCCCACAGTGCAGAGGACACAGGCGGGACAGATGTGTCTCACTCATGGCTAGAACCGGAGGAGGCCTCTTTCCCCCGTGGCGGAGGCCTCTGCCCACAGTGCTCGGCAGGCAGGGGGGAAGGGGGGGAGCCACAGGCAGGTCAGGCTGCAGGTGGTCAGCACAGTTCCACAGAGCTCTGCAGAGCACAGGGACATGCTCACTTCCCCAGGGACATCACCCCTTCCTTCCACTTACCTATGATGGGCAATAACCCCACGCACATGGCACACCACATGGCCAGGATCGATTTGTCTCTCCTCCCTCCAGCTCCTCTCAGCCTGCACAACAGCTCTGCCCACATCTTCCCTGTCTGTGTCTCTCTCACTGCAGCCCGTCCTAGTCCCTCCTTCTCACTCCCTCACTCTATGAGAACAATGAAAGGAAGAGGCGGGACCTGTAGGAGCGGAAGAGATTGAAGCTGTTGGTGCACTCTTGTGCGTCTCTCACCCTGCATGCTGCAAGAACAGAGCGTTTCATTGGCAGAAAAGCTGTGTGAGGCATAAGGTGACGTGCTGGTTTGGGGCCATGTGGACGCTTCTCTGATGGAAGGACTGCAGGGTGCTGCTCGGACTTTGGAGCTGGCCATAGGGCATAACAGGTTGTCCTTCCAGATGGCACCTGTACTTTTCCTCTACTGAGAGGCTTCTCCTGGCCAGGACTCCCCTGAACCTAGCTCAACCTTTGCATGCGGCACCACCAAGTGCACATGCTCTGCTTTCTGCTTCCTGCCCTGAAACCTTGTTTCCACTTGCTCTTCAAACTGATGTTTCTCCAGCTGCCTCTCCTGGAGTCCCGAAGCAGTAAAGATCGTCCCTAACTCTGGGCAGCTGAGAACTGGGTTGTCCTTGGTGCTGAAGTTTTGGGGAAAATGCAGGTTCAAGACTCCCGACTCACCCTCCAAAACTAATGTATACGGGACACAACAGGGACTACGCTCTTGGGGCTCTCAGTTGAGCAAGAACACACCCTTCTCTGTCCCCATCCTGCTTAGCAGGAACCTAGAGCTCCCCCTAGGGCCTTTGCAGCCACGGCATAGAATGTTAGGGGTTGGAAAGGACCTCAAAAGATAATCTCGTCCAACATCCCTGCCAGGGCAGGATCACCCAGGGCAGGCCACACAAGAACGGATCCAGGTGGTGAGGAGACTCCACAACCTCTCTGAGCAGCATGTTCCAGTGCTCCGTCACCCTCACACAAAAGAAATTTCTCCTCAAGTTGAGGTGGAACTTCCTGTGTTCTAAGTTAAGTCCATTATTTCTTGTTCTATTACTGGGCACCACTGAGAAGAGATTGTCCCCTTCCTCTTGACCCCCACTCTTCAGATATTTATATAAATTAATAAGGTCCCCTCTCAGTCATCTCCTTTCAAAGCTAAACTGTCCCAATTCTCTCAGTCTCTCTTCACAGGAGAGATCTTCAAGTCCCATAATCATCCTTGTAGCTCTCCTTTGGACTCTCTCCAGTAGGTCCCTGTCTCTCTTGAATTGGGGGGCGCAAAACTGGACATGGGGCATCTATTGAGTCCCGATAAATAAAAAAACATAAATAAAAACTATCTTGACTGGTACCTTGGAGAACATTCCACACTCAGCAAACTGTTTGAATTTCTCCCCACGTCTCTCTCTTTTCCTGAGTGTCTCCAACATGGCTCCTTAAGGGCAGGAATGGAAAAGGGAGTTGCAGAGGGTACAGTAGCCCTCTGAAATTGCATGACTGAGGCTGGGAGAAGAAGCATAGGGATGCAAGGTCAAAGTGGTTTATGTTTCCCTGGAGCGGTTTAGGGTTACTGGGTTCCCTACAGCTCCAAGCCCATGGAGGGATGGAGTGTCATCCTGACTCAGGACACCATCCATACCGACTGTATGAGGCTTTCCTGACAGAAAGTCCATTCTGGCATCTCAGTATACACACGTGAGCATAATGCACATGGAGCCAGCACCTCATATCCAGGGGAAAAGATGTTGTGCAGGTCAGCTCCTTCTGTTTCAGCACTCTGGGGCTCTCTGAACAACATGAGCTCTCAATATTCAATTAATCTCTGGTTTTCCATGTTCAAATGTTAGTTCTTAAATGCTCATTGTGTTTCTTAAAACAAAATAAAAATCAACTCTGACATGTTCTGACTGTGGGAAGACTGAGAAGAAAGGAAGAAGGTAAAGAACAAGGTATGTGTGCTTGTTGTTTCCCAAATGACCCTCTGCATTTTCCTTGTTTCCCTGATTTGCTCCACAGGGACTAAAACTTGAGGGCTGGACTGAATTGATCAGAGGCTCACCGGGAGCTGCAGAGGAGATGAACAGAGCCATGGCTGGGCTCACACCTGCCTGCCTCGACACCTCGGCCCCTCTCCAGGGCAGCCTCTGGCTGACCCCAGCACACTTGCCCCACCATGGCCCAGACTGGCCCCCCTGGGGCCACTGCACCTTCGGGGCAGGAGCAGAGGGTGGGGGTGCAAGGGATGTGGGGCAGGGCTGGTGGCACAGGAAGAGCATGGCTGCCAGCACGCAGAGGGTTCTGCCCCAGGGCATACGAGCATAGGATCACTGAAAGGTTTGGATTGGAAGACACCTTGAAGACCATGTCCTTCCAACGCCCCTGTCACCAGCAGGGACACCTCCTACTAGACCAGGATGCTCAAATCCCCATTCAACCTAGCCTTGAAAACTTCCAGGGAGAAGACATCCACGGCTTCTTTGGACAACTTATGTCACCACCCTCATCACCCCATAAAGAATTTTATTCTGCAGTCACCCCATAAGTTGACTCTTACCTTACATTTGTGCAACATCCTTAAAAAAGCTGGTGTGTGAAGGGGACAATTTTCCTGCTCTCTAGCTTGCTGAGAAGTTCACCTAGAACTCCACACCCTGATGGTTACAAACTGCCCTTGGACCTAAGGTCTTCTTGCATACCCAGGTCATGCAGCAACTTGGAGAACAGGGTGTGGGAATGTAATAGAAGACTGGTGAGGAGGGTTATACGTAGTCTCAAGTGACTTGCAGCTATGGTGTTAGAAAAAACACACATCACACTAGATCACTGCTGGGTCCTGTGTGCTCGACCAGAAGCACAACGGCGCTGAGATCACAGAGGCGTGGGGTAAATGCAGCAGCATCTCTTGCATCCCTGCCCTGCTATGGGAAGGAACAAGAACTTTTTGTCAGCTCTTTTTGCCAGCCCTTTTCACTTCAGATCCCTTCCCCAGCACAGTCTTATCTGCCCTGCAGCTGGTCTCCACAACTATGGTGACACAGGGTGTCCCCCTGCAGCCATGATGCTTCATGGTGGGGCAGACAGCCACCCTACAGCAAATGGAAGGCCCCACATCAGAACAAGACAGTATGGCCAGAAGGAAGCTGTCACCCTGTGGAGATCTCATGCTGTAGCAGGCTCCTGGCAGGGACTGTGGTCCTGTGGAGATAAATCCATGCATGAGCAAGTTTTCAGGCAGGACCCATGTGACTCAGGGGACTCACGCTGGAGCAGTACTTTCCTGAAGGACTGTGACCTGTGGAAGAGACCTCTGATGGACAAGTCTGTGAAGAACTGCAGCACATGGGAAGGAGCCATGATGGAGAAGTTCACAAAGTACTGTCTCCCATGCACGAGATTCCAAGCTGCAGCAGATCCAAACTGGCTACATATGCTGTCCCCATATACTGTTTAGGGTGACAAGGTAGCGAAATCAGGGCTGAAGTTGAGTCTGCTATGAAGGGAGGGGTAGTGTTTTCAAATTTTTTAATGATTTCTCATTATCCTATTCAGATTGAAATGACAATGAAGTAAATTAATTTCCCCAAGCGAACTCTGGTTGCCCTGTGAAGGTAGTGGCTGGCTCAGCTCCCTGTCCTTATCTTGACACATGAGCCTTTCTTTGCAATTTTTGCCCCTGCCCAACTGAGGAAGGGGACTGACAGAGGAGCTTGGTGGGCACCTGGTGACCAGCCATGGTCAACTCACCGCACCTTGCCTACTTCTTCTTCCTGATCAGGTGACCTGTAGGACTCAGTCACTACAGTGTCATCCATGCTGATATGTCTTTCCTAATCAGCCTGACTGCACCCACCACAGTGCTCTTGGAAGCCACTGCACTGTGCCTCCAGCATCCCACAGCTCTACAACCAAACCACAAAGGGAAAAATTGGGCCATGATGGACAGCAGCCCAGGCAATGTGACGGAAACTGGACTTCACCAGGCAGCCTCTCAAGCTCCCACAACAGATCCTCCTGCATCAACCACATTTCCCTTCACTCCTTTTAATTGCAAATACAACAAAGGTTTTCTGCCTGTACCTGCCACTGTGTGACACCAACCTCTGCCTAGCAGCTGCTAGGAAGATGGTCGGAAAAATGCTGAAATTCTCTGTCAGGTGGTTTTTGGTCTACTCTGCTGCACAGCTGATCCACGGTGAGCCTAGCACCACAGTAATACACTGCTTCATCCCCTGGCTTTGCTGCCTGGATCTGCAGTGTGAATCTGTTCTTGGAGCTCTCCACACTTCCCTTAAAGTGACTCTGGAAACCTTCTCCATAGAGATCACCCTCCCGGTAAATCCAGTCCATGGTGCCTCGTGGTCCTTGCCGGTACCAGAACATGTAGTAGCTGCTCATACTGCCTCCTCTCATGCTGCACTGGAAGGTGACCTCTTCTCCTTCTCGCACGGCCAGTTCCCTGATGTTTTGCTCCAAGGCCACCTGACCAGTGACTGCTGCAGTGAGGAAGAACAAGCCATCATCACTCCAACGCTCTGTAAATTATGCACTGAAGAACTCCTGGGGGTGTTGTGATAGCACTGGGCTCGTGGGAGGACTAAAACCGTTTCTTTGAACCCAGCTGACCAAGATGAATAGAAGAATAGAGATGGTACCAGGAATCAGGGCTCATGAGGAGGAAGACATCACGTTTCTCTTCCGCCTTTTCTCTCCCAGACAGGCAAATTTCTATGTATTTCCCATTCCAAGCAGTTAGGATTTGCACCCCAGGGGGCAAATTCCTTCTCTTTGCCAAGCTGGGATGCTGAGGAACCACACTCTCCTCTCCCTGAAACTGTTCTGAAGGAGCACACAGCACGGACAAAGATCTCTCACAGCCCTTGGCCCGTATGCTGCTATCTAAAACCTCATCTTGGCAAAATAAATTGCAGTGCCCCATGAGCAGATTGTCCAGCCAAAGGGCAAAGCCCCAAGATTGGGCAGGTGCAAGGAGGTGCCCTGCCTGTCCCCACAGTGCAGAGGACACAGGAGGGACAGAGGTGCCTCACTCATGGCTAGAGCAGGAGGAGGCCTCTTCCCACAGTGCTCTGCAGGCATGGCTGAGGAGGTCGAGTCACAGGCAGGTCAGGCTGCAGGAGGTCACACAGCTCGACAGAGCTCTGCAGAGCAGAGGGACATGCTCATCTCCCCAGGGGCATCACACTTCCACTTACCTACGATGGGCAATAACCCCACACACATGGCACACCACATGGCCAGGACCGCTCTGTCTCTCCTCTCTCCAGCTCCTCTCTGCCTGCACAACAGCTCTGCCCACATCTTCCCTGTCTGTGCCTCTCTCACTGGAGCCAGTTCTAGTAACTCCTCCTCATTCCCTCACTGAATGAGAACAATGAAAGAAAGAGGCGGGACCTGTAGGAGCAGAAGAGGTTGAAGCTGTTGGTGCACTCCTGGGTGTCTCACCCTGCAGGCTGCAAGAACAGAGCGTTCGCTTGGCATGAAAACCTTTGTTAGGAAAAAGGAGACTTGTTGCTGTGGGGCCACCCTAACCTTCCTCTGGGGAAGGACTTCGGGGTCCTGAGGCATGTCATGTTGTCCTCCCAAGCAGTCTCTGTCCATTGCTTTTGCTGGGAAGCTGCTCCTGGCTGGGATCAGTTGCCGCACATTGGGTCCCACCTCCACTTTTGGGCAGGACACCATGAAGCACAAATGCTATGCTTTCTGCTCCCTCAACTCTAGCCCAGCACCCTAGCCCTCCATTTGCTCCCTCTTACTGACGTTTATCCAGCTGCCTCTTTCCTGGGAACACCCTCTCAGAATACCCAAGCAGTAAAAGTCCTTCAGGGCTCTAGGCAGCTGAGATCTCTGTTGTCCTTCATCCTGAATGTCTGAGGCAAATGTGCAGGTTCAAGTTCCCTAACACATCCCCGAAAACCCATGTGAACCTGACTCAGCAGGGACCACGCTATTGGGGCTCCTCAGCAGAGCAAGCACATATCCTCCTCTGCCTTCACCCTGCTCAGCGGGATCCTAGAGCTCCCCCTAGGGCCTCTGCAGTCGCAGCATGGGGCACCTACTGAGGCCTGATAAATGCCTTGACTACTGAGGACTGATAAAAATCTTAACTGGTACAACCACTTTGGAGAAAATTGCGCACTCACCAGGCTGAATTCTTCCCTGTCTCTCTCTTTCCATGGGTGTTCCAACACCCCCCCTTGAGGAGGGATGGAGGACAGGACTGGGAAAGGGAGTTGGAGAGGGTAGAGGAGCCCACTGAAACCGGATGACTGAGGCTGGGAAGCAGCACAGGCATGCAAGGCCAAGGTGCTTGCTGTACCATGCCCCGGAACAGGTGATCCTGCTCTGGCAGGGGGGCTGGACTAGAGGACCTTCTGAGGTCCCTTCCAACCCCTAACATTCTATGACTCTGTGATTCTGTGAATTTGGGGCTGCTACAACATCATAGGGCATGCTGGGCTCCCTACAGCTCCAGGCCCATGGAGGGCTGGAGTGTGAGCCTGGACCAAGGCACCCTCCATATCCTCCTTATTGGGGTTTCCTCACAAAATTCCATGCTGGAACCTCAGTTGTATGCACATCAGCATATATGCACATGGAGCCAACACACCATATCCAGGGGAAAAGATGCTCTGTAGCTCAGCTCCTTCCATTCCACTACTCTGCTGTGACGTCACGAGTGCATCTCTAGTGACAGCTGGTTCCTGGACAGCTCTGCAGAGCTGTTGACTTGGCTCTGGCAGGACAAAGCAATGTGCTGGAGTCCTGTGAAAGATTCTGCAACAGGACATGCTGCAGGTCTCTGCCAGAATTCTCACAGATCCAATCCCAAGTGTAGCTGTTGTCACTGATGGTTACTCCAGAGATGTGGCAGGTGAGCATGTGAGACTTGGAGACCTTCCCCACATTGGGGCCAGAGTCTTTGTCTGTATCTGAGAAAGGCCACCTGTGAACATGGGAGACCCCTTCTGTTAGTGATCTCTAGGATCCAGCAGCCACAAACACACATGCTCAAAAGTCTTTGCTCCCTTTCTAGGCTCAGATCTGGGACAGCAGCACAGAATTCTCCTTTCACCCAGTGCAGTCCCAAATGACCCTCTGTATTTTCCCTGTTTCCTCTGCTTACTCTTTGGGGAGCAAAACTTGAGGATTGGAATGAGTCAGCCTGAGCTGTCCCCAAGAGCACACCACGGCTATTTACACATATCAGCAGTTGGGCTGTAACTGAGTAGGTGTCCTAGTGGGAAGCAAAGGAAACACCAAAACTTGCTTCCAAAGCTTTGAAGGTGTTCAATGAATAGGAAAAATGAAGACTACTGTGAGGTATGAAGGTAAGCAGGAGGGGTAAAGTTTAGGAACAAAATCAGGAAAAATATCTTTGTCAGAATGAAACACTTGAAAACTGTGTGCTGTAATGACATGACTCTGTGAAAGCAGCCCTGACACCCTTTGCGACTCACCTCCCTTGCAGCTCTGGCGGCCCCAGA